GGGGGAGATATCTGGGTGAAACCAGCTTTTGGATTATTTGGAAAGGGGCTGGATTACCCCACTAGGGTGTAGAGGTGGAGGGGGAATAGACCACTTGTATACAGAGATAAGGGGTGGACCCCAGCTCCCCAAATACCTCTGGGGGGGGATTCTTCTGATGCCTCTTGCCCCCCCATTCACAGGTCATTGTGGAAAAGGCCCCCAAAGCCCGGATAGGAGACCTGGATAAGAAGAAATACCTGGTGCCCTCTGACCTCACAGGTAGGTGCTGGTTGGGGTTGGGGTAATGGGCTGGGGGGGTAGATTTGGATGTGCTCTCTGACCTCATAGGTCAGTACTGGGGGCGGGGACATGGGTGAGGGTCTTGGATGTTCTTGGGGAGATAAAACAGAGGCATTTCCCTGGGTGTGGCTAGGGCTTGGGATGGCTGTGTTCCTTGCTCTCTTACCTCTGACCCCCAATCCTGTTCCTTCCCAAGTTGGCCAGTTCTACTTCCTGATCCGGAAGCGGATCCACCTGCGGGCCGAGGACGCCTTGTTCTTCTTTGTCAATAACGTTATCCCCCCGACCAGTGCCACCATGGGGCAGCTGTACCAGGTGGGGGGTGCCACACTCTCAGCCATTTTGTAGGGGAAAGGGTTCTTTGAGGGTGTGCCAGGTGGGGGGTGCCAGACTGGGCAGGAGGGGCTGGAGGACAGAAGGGCAGGGTGAGGGGGTAGGCGGGGGGGGGGGGTATCAGGGGGGGGGGGGGATGCTGGGCGGCATGGCGGGGCAGGGTCCAGCTTTTGGGGGGTCTGACTTTGTCTGGGGGGGTTCCCAGAAGGGGATACTACCCCTCACAATCCTACTGCCCCTTCTTCTTCCTCCCTCCACAGGAGCACCATGAGGAAGACTTCTTCCTGTACATAGCCTACAGTGACGAGAGTGTCTATGGGCTGTGAAGGGCTGTGCAGCGCCCCCGGGGATCCCCCCACACCCGCAGGGACCTGCACTTTTTGTTTGGGGGGGGTGGAGATTTTTTTGGGGGGGCGGGGTAGGGATATTCTTCCTTTTGATTTTGTACCCCTCCCCTTCCTCTGAGCCATGGGGGCCTGCGGGCAGGGGTCCAG